ATCGTTGGGCCAGAAAATTTCAACTGTGGCAGTTCAGTCAGTTAATGCAGGTGCACCATTAATAACCAGCACTAGTCCAACAACAGCAACCTCTCCAAAGGTAGTTATTCAGACAATCCCTACTGTGATGCCAGCCTCTACTGAAAATGGAGACAAAATCACCATGCAGCCTGCCAAAATTATCACCATCCCAGCTACACAGCTTGCACAGTGTCAACTGCAGACGAAGTCTAATCTGACTGGATCTGGAAGCATTAACATTGTTGGAACCCCACTGGCTGTGAGAGCACTTACTCCTGTTTCCATAGCCCATGGTGCACCTGTAATGAGGCTATCAGTGCCTACTCAACAGGCATCTGGCCAGACTCCTCCCCGAGTGATCAGTGCGGTCATAAAAGGGCCAGAGGTTAAATCGGAGGCAGTGACAATAAAGCAGGAACATGACGTGAAAACTTTGCAGCTGGTACAAGAAGAAAAGCCGGCAGACGGAAATAAGACAGTGACCCATGTAGTGGTTGTCAGTGCCCCTTCAGCTATTGCCCTGCCCGTAACTATGAAAACGGAAGGACTAGTGACATGTGAGAAATAAAAGAGCAGCTCTGCCATGGACTTTCGACTGTTAGTAACAGTACTAACATAAATGTTTGCAAGGGATGTCATCAAGAAAAGTCAAAAGGAGACTTTAAAACATTCTTAAAGCATATAGGAAACAATCAAACTTACTGGAAATAAGTTACCTGTCCCATGTTTCAGTGGGAAATGAACTACATGTTGAGATGCTGACAGAAAACTGCCTCTTACCTAGGAAATAACTGAACCCATCAATAAAAAAGGATTGAAAGGGACCAAGCACCTCACTACAATATCAAGTTACACTAAGACTTGGAACACTAACATTCTGTAAGAGGTTACAGTTTTCAATGGGGAGGGGTTGGGATGGGTGATCTCATTGTTACATATAGCAATTTTTGTGCATTTTATATGCATACCAGCAATTATTACTGTGTTCACACAGAACTCACTTAACTGGTGCTATGTGAAGACTCTGCTAATGTAGGTATTTTAGAATGTGAATTGAAGAATGGATCCAAAAGCTTCAGAAAGAGGATAGCAAAAAAGATCTAGTGCGATTTTTTAATAAAATATCATATAGCTTAAGCTGATTTAAAACAAAGGCCTTAGACTAATTTTCGGTTTTCTTTATTGAAATAAGCTAATGGCTTGTTTGTGTAAAGCTTTTTTTATTAAAAGAAAAATTTTAAAAATCTTGTACCTAGCACAGTATTGTTATAGAATTTACATGTAACATTTTATATGGTAGTTTAAGTCTGTCCGTTTCTTAATTGTGGACAAATTAACAGTTGGCTCTGGCCTTTTGCTGTAACATGCCTGTGTCACTCAGCCCTGTCATCTGTGCAGACATACCAGTTTCTGTTCTCCTGTCACTTGGAAGTTAAGGCTCAGCATGAATTTTTGTCAGGTAATTCTTAATACCTGGAGTTTTCTTTTTTTCCTTTTTTTTTTTAGTTGAAGTTTAAGAGGGAAAGTACCAGTGTTCAAATTTGAACTATAATAGTTTGTATATTCAACATTTGAAGTATATTCTATTTTGTTGTACTCTTGTTTCAAAGTGTATTCAAGTAGGTTTTCTGAAATATAGAAATTTATCTTGCATTTTGGTCTCTGGTGATATTTTTAATATTCAAAAGCTAGTATAGAGACATCATTTTAGTTAAGAATAGAGGTCCTATTTCTCCTTTCCAACTAAAGAAATCCTATTTCTGTTTTTTCTTTATATTAATACTTGGCAAATTACTGCATGTTGCCACTTCCTTTCTAATTATAATCGCGAACTATAATGTTCTAGTTACCATAATGACTTTATTTTAATGTTGGCCACACTTAAGAATTTATATTTTAAATCAAGACCATTTGCTTCTCAATCATACTTTCTGAAGGTTAGGAAGAACAAGTAATATTCTGGCTCTTTTACACATGAACTGGAGGTCCAGAGGGATTACAGGAGTTTCCGAATTTCACACCGGACTAGGTCGTGTGACTTTACATCTTAATGCTCTTTCTATTACAAAGAAAAGTTGTCTATTTTTACATCTTTTAGAAATTTAAATAAACTGATACTTAATATTTTGTGGCCTTTAATTGTTCATTTCATCTGATACTACTTAAATTGACAAAGATTTTTTTTAACACCTCCCTTTGTAATCTTTTTATCTTTTCCATAAATATACCTAATGGTATTTTTTAATAAAAGCTCAAAAAACCCCTCACCTGATTCTTATCCCATTTGAAAGTTAATCTCAAATTCTACTTCTTTAAACATTCCCTACTCTGCTTTGGCAATTCATTGTATTCTTTAAAAATTTTTTTTATCTTTATTGTTGAAAGTATTATAGATGTCCCCCAACTTGACTCCCTCTACTCCACTCCCCCTTCCCCCAGGCCTTCTCTGCACTATTGTCTGTGTCCATTGGTTATGCATATACATTCTTTGGTTAATCTCCCCCACCCCCACCCCCACCCCAACTGTATTTTTTGCACGGCAATTTCATCCATAATGCTGATGTTGGGTAAAGATTACATACTTTACCATACCTACACCCCTCCTCAAGTGCTGAGCATATGGGACACGGACATTTTTTGATTTTGGTAACATTTGGTACGAATATGTCGTGTTATGGAGGGTAAAGGAACTTTAAATTTTTAGTAATTCCCCCTATGCAATATTAATTGGTTCTAATTAGGTGAAGCCAGGGCTACCTAGCTTCCTCCACTGCTCTACCTGAATACTTTTGGGTACATCTTTCAGAATAAGTACACTTACGGTCTAAATTGGGAAACACATGTTCACAGCATATATTGATTGGAGTGCTTCTGGTGATTGATATTACCAGGTGTATGCTTTTTAGTCTCAACCCTTTTGAACCGTAGATCATTATACTTGCTTTTTGTGTCCAGCATATTGGAAAACCATATAATAATAGCTTTATGCGACTAGTTTCCAGCCTCACCAGGTTTTTGAAACAATGACTGATCAGCATTCTGTCCACTTAGTCCTCAGGTCATCTTCCAGCAACAATTCCAACCTTCAGCACTCTGCTTACCAAATAACCAGCAAACCTCTTAGGGAACATGGAGGTCATGAGCTGTAAACTCCCCCACTCTCTGGAAACCTTGCTATAAGACCATCTTATTCCAGCATGCATCCACCACCTGTCTCCAGAGAGGCAGATGTGCCTTCTTCCTGTACTCAGCATCTCCTTCCCTCTCACACCTACTTCTTTCCCTTGTTCCAACACTTAATAGCCCATCATTCTGTCTTTTTCTGAATTACAGTCAGAATTCTGACTTAGAAACAGTTACCATTGAAATCTCCAGTAATCCAGTGGTCAAGTCAAACTGCTTTATTTTTTCACATGATCTAGTGCCTCAGCCTTTTTACATTCTCTGGGTTTTCCATAACATCCCTCTTGCAATTTTCCTCCTGTATGACCAACTCTTAGTTGACTTTGCTTTCCTTCAGCTTTCCCAGTTAATGTCTATGGGGCTCTTATAGTAGTTGTAAGAACTGAGTTAATACGTTAAGGATTTAGAACCAGTGCCTGGCCTATATCACTCTTACTAAAATGTTTAATATATCATCTCAACATGTTAGACAATCTCATTCATTCTTATGGTTTCTACTACCAAATATATTCTAGCCTTTTCTTTAGGCCTTAGATGGGTTTATCTAATTGCCAACTGGCTATTTCCTCCTGAATGTCCAACTCATCCATCTGAAATCTTTTCCTCTTTGCTCAATAAATGATGTTGCCAGTAACACATTACTCCTTGCCCTCCATGACAACCTCCCTCTTACTTGTGCTTTTCCTAGTATCCTCCCATAACTGACTCCCCATACCGCTAACAGATTGTCTTCAGCTGTAGTCTTTATGGTGGTGGCCCAACCACTGTGGCAAAGTTACTCGAGTGTTGTCCTGGGTCCCATGTATACAGAAAGCATACATGTTATTAAATTTTTCTCCTGTTAATCTTTTATTACAGGGATGTCTCAAACAAGAACCTAAAAGGATAGAGTGAACATTATTTCCCTCCCCTACAGAGTAATAGGCTCTATCCTTCAGCCTAGGTGTGTAGTGGGCTGTACCACCGCAGTTTGTTTAAGTATGATGTTCACATGATGCTGAAACCCGCTAATGACGCATTTCTCAGAACATGTCTCTCTCAATAAGTGGCTGGTGACTATTGTTGGATACCTGAAATCCACATATTACTTTGACTTTCATTCTCATTCACATTCATTTACCCAAGGCTGTCATGATCTCTCTTCAGGTTGGTGTGCTTTGGGGTAGGAAAACAGTATTTAATGCCTGTACATATAAGTATTGTAATTAGTGTTGTTCCTCAGCAACATGATTACTATTAGTCATGCTAAGATTTGAACCAAATGGTACGGATGGTCTTTCTGCTTGCCATCCTTCCAGGTAGCCCCAAGATTTTATGTATACAACGTACTGAGAAACTTCATTTGTTTCACAAGTGGTTCCAATGCAGAATACTTGGGTGAACCCTTTTGGGAGCTCCAGCCTTGGCACTGAGAGATACATACATCAAAAGCACAGCAAAGATGCCTTCAATGTGCAGCTATAGAGCTGCTTTGTTCACTTCTAAAATAAATATCTGTGTGTAAATGAATAGTGTGAACCCACCATATTAACAGTATTAAAAGATCCAATCACCTTAGCTGGTTTGGCTCAGTGGACAGAGCGTTGGCCTGTGGACTGAAGGGTCCTGGGTTTGATTCCCAGTCAGTGCATATGCCTGAGTTGTGGGCTCAATTCCCAGTGTGGGGCGTGCAGGAGGCAGCCAGCCGATTCATGAATCTCTCATTGAGGTTTCTATAGCTCCCTCTCTGAAGTCAGTATAAAAGATCAAATCTACCCCAGATTCTTTTTGGACTAAAAATACAAGATATTAAAGTACTAGTTTCAAAAGACCATTTATTAATTTTAAATATATACAATTCATGGATTAAAATATTCAACTTATTACCCATACGTTATTTGCTGGGATTTTGTTTGGAAGGGGCTTCACCTGTTATCTTGACCACTTTTTTCCCCCAAGGAAAGGGAATTCCAGGTTATCTTTCCTTTTACATTCTTTCTAGACACTGAGCCAGTCACCTGGCTGTATTAGGAAATTACAATGACAGCCTTGTGAACAGGCTTTCTGGTTGCCCATCTCTGAAAAGAAGGTCCCCCTGACTTTACCAGCCACTGCTCGTAAATAACCCATCGTGAACAGCACATTCCAATACAAATCACTGTGACACTGAGTGGCCACAAATCAAATGTATACCAATAGCATTCCAACAGAAATCTGTAAATGCATAGCAGTGATTAAATGACAAAGACCAACTGGTCATGGAATCTTCAAGAAATACAATAATGGGGAACATGGAGGCACAGCAAGAATTGTTATGAAGAACTTATCGAGACCAGCTATTTCCACTTAAACAAAAAAACAAACCACTGGGGCCTCCAGGCTAAATAGTTTCTTTGTACACTATTTTGTTAGACCCCAAATAAAAACATCTTAAAGCCTTAAGAAAATTACTATAAATTACTCTCTAACTTACATTTTGCATGGTTCTTAAATGTTTGTAATGCTATTATTTTCACATGAAGATATAAAAAATAAATACTGCCATGCATATCTTGTTGATACTTAAAACCACAAATAAATAACTTGAAATACTGTCTAGAGGAAATTGTTCCTGCATACTTGCTAATTATGGAAGACAAAGTATTTTTATATAGCGTCATCAAACTGAAAGCTTCAAAACAAGACTAATTTAATGCCCTTAATTGATCTAAATTTAATGCTAGGGGAAAGGAGAAAAAAAAACAAGCCAAAACTGGAGTGCAAACACCTTTTTCGCTGAAGGGTTTAATGGAAAACGTTTGTTAACTAATGGGATTCCTTCCCTGAGGCATGCTGGAAACATGGAAAGTGAAGTGAGAGAAATGGAATCCTTCCTCAGGCAACGTATCCTAACTTCAGTTTTCCTGAAACATCCCTGGTTAAGACTTGTGATTACAAAGTGTTTATGAAAGTCCATCAGGTTCCTTATTAAAGCTGAAGTCACACACTAGAGACAGGTGGTCGGAAGGATAATTGAAGGATGGGAGCCGACTGGCTCCAATCTGTTCTTCAGTGAGCAAATCCAGAGCTGCCCTCACACTCAGAGAGTGTTTAGAATACCAGATGTAGTCCAGGGTGTGCCGGTACTCCCCCGAGGTCCGGATCTTCCAGGAAGTATACGGAGGTTCTGACTGCCCATCTGGACTCAGCAGCTTATAGGCGCTGCTCAGGTTGAGGCTGGAGGAAGCAAAATTTTTGTAGACGTCCTCTGTTGGCTCTGCATTGAAGTCCCCACAAACAATAAGGGGAATCTTGGCTCCTTGGGTGAGGTTCTGCAGGTTCCGGAGAAGATCACAGCCTTGAGCTGATCGAAACTCCTCCCAGCCGGATCGTGCTTTCAAGTGGGTGACCGCGACGCAGAGCTGTTGACTGGACTCCTTGCACTCTAGGGTCTGTACAATGGCCACCTGGTTGGTTTTCAATGCCATGGCCGTCAGCCTGATATTGGTGCTGTGGACTAACTTGAAGCGGTTCTGGAGGAAAAACAAGGCACAGCCATCTGGTCCATTGTTATGTTCTACATCGAGACAAGGTGACCAGGGCTTGGGGAAAAATGTGCCTCGATAGCCCAGTCTGCTGAGGAGTGGCTGGAAGGTGTCAAAATAGTGGTCCACCTCTTGGAGACACAAGATGTCAGGCTGGTAGGCTAGGATTTCTTCTAGGATGAGACACTTCCGCTCTTCCCACTTGAGTGCTTCCACGGGGCACTGTGCGAAGTTGTCTTTTCCTTCCCCGAGAGCTGAAATAAAAAAGCCAGTCGGTTGTCAGCTACCACAGAATCATGATTGTTAAGTGCCTGGGAATCTCCTTGGGTTTTTGATATGACTCAAGCCCCTCCCAGTGCTTCCTCCTTCAGGCGCTGTGGGTGGTTCTCTGCCTAAACGGCATTAAGTTTTAGCTTTAAACGGTATTCTTTGCAGTTCTAGGGATCTAAACTATGTCAGATGAGATAGATAGGTTTAACTCTACATACTAACACTGACTATGAATGGATACAGACACCACTCAGAATGAATGGGATCCTAAATAGGCAGCTTTTCCTACTTACGAATGAACAGCTGGAAAAAAATGAGTGAACCAAAGACTGGGAAGTCAGCAAGCATGCCCTTTTCTTAGGGAGGGAGGGGCAAAAAAGCAGCCCTTGTTACTTTTCCTTAAAATTTCAACTGCTACATGAGAGAGAGCACTAGGGAAAGTTGATCGAGATGCGAATGGATGAGAAGATGGCCATAAGAATGACAGGTTCAGCACCATCCACAGCTCCCATTCTCTGTAGCAAGTTCCATATGTAACCATTCAGAAGACTCAGTTTCTCCCTTGCAAATGCCATCTTAGTGCAGTGGACTGAAAGTGGAGACAACAAAAGTTTTGAGGCTGACAAATGATGGGGTCCTTTAGGTTTTGAAGTGCTGGGAAGTAGACTTTCATTGTATCTGGATGGCCTACAAACATGGAAGGTAAGGAATACGTCTCGAGTTGCTGGAGTTATTAGTGAAAGCCAGAAGACTTGCCTTCCTAACTTGCCGTTTTGGGAGCGGATGCTGCCCTTGTCACCCCATCTTACACCTCCCATTTGCCCACACCTCTTCCCTCCACGTGAGACATCAGTGCACTGGCAAGTGCAGAGGCAGAAAGGCAGTTACCACAGACTTAATGCTCAGGAACAAAGCATCAGGCTTACCTTGAGCGAGGATGTTCCATTGCATGACCCTTATAGGTGGGTGGCTACTGGGGCAATCTGTCTTCAGATCCACAAAGTCCCTCTGGAACCGGGGAGGTCGACTGTGCAGGACTGCCCTGCATTCCTCAAGGAGCTCTTTAGGATCAATGGGCTCCAGATGTTCTGGGTCAGGTGACTCCAAATATTCTGGGTGCTGGGAGGCAGCGCTGCTGTTCAGTGTCTTGGCAAGAGCACTATAGAGTCTGCTCGTGCCGTTTCCCATGGAACAGGCTGTCAGAGAGGAAAGGAAAGCACAATTACACACTCAGCTCCTTTTCCTGCCTTTCTTCAATTTCCACCCAGCTCAACTAGAAGGGGAAACTTTCCCTGTCCTTAGAAGGAGACCTTAATGTAGGAAATGCTGCTGTTGGCACAGGTAGATTAAAGGCATTCCCAGGTTCTACCTTTGTACTGGGGCAGGTCATTGAAAATACTATTAAAATTGGTCTCTCAGAACTAAGATAATTCTTACAAGGGAAAAATACCTTGATCTTTATGGCTTCCTCTAACCTACTACTTGTCTTTATAACTTATAAACCCAGTCTTAGAAAAGCATGGCTGAAACAAAATCCCCATTCCTTTTTCTACACAATTTCAAAAACCTGAAAAACAATTTTGTAAAGAGGCACATGTTAGGAAGCTCATGTTAATCCTGGAGAAGAGACTAGGTTAGAGCAGGCCGCTGCTCCAGCATGTCATCTACCCAGATCCCTCTGTTAGGAAAAGAAATGGCTGGATTAAACCCATATCTCATTTCGCTTAGATGTCAGCTTTTTGCAGAGCTCTGTGAACCTCACTGAGCAATACAGTGGATAATCTATTATCAATAGCTGTATTTCTTAAAAAAAACAACATCAAGCAGTCAGAAAAGGGATTGGAGGAGGGAAAGGGGCAAGAGACAGTTGCCCACATTTCCTGGGATCCTGGAGGGAGGAAGGTGAGGCGGCGTGCAGGTGGCGCACCGCCTGTTGGGCATTTTCTAGTGCTTCCTTTTTAAACCACCAAGGAGAGCAGAGCATGGCCTTCAGCTAATTAGCATGAAGGAAGCTGTACCTGTCACTTCACTTGTAAGCAGTGATTGCTCATAGTGATTCACTATGGTATAAATTAGGGGCACGTTTTACTTGGAACCACCTCCAAATTTCTGTGTATGATGAATATTGGAATGGAGGAATTTGGATTTTCCTACCACATCCATATCTTTGCCTTCTTTTGAAAGACACAAAATTTTCTCTATGAAAATACTTTGTTTAGCAGGCTGATGGACTGAATCTGAAACTAGCTGTCAGTCATATTCACGGTGACAGATCACAAAAGCAAATTCAAATACTTAGCACCAAATGTCTTTTAAATATCAAGGTCAATAAAGCATGCGCTCTCATTCCTTTTCATCAACTCAAAAGTAATTCCTCCCCCCCCCCAATAAAACTATATTAAAGCAAAGAAACACCCTACTTTTCCCAGCATACATTTAAGTGTACATGCATCAGCAAGCAAGACTTCTTTCTCACACACGTGCACATGCACAGATGGGCACATACACACCCGTTTTCAAACGGATTTGAATGTTCTTTTTAATCAATCTGCTTGCCTGAGTACATGGGTCCAAAGGAAGAACTTTTCTTCTTGGCTGGCAGAAAAACTGAAAAACTTTCTTCTGTACCTCCACGTTTTTTAAAGCAGTTAAGAGTCCTACTAAATGTGGTCAGATCAGCATCACCTCAACTGTAGGTCCAAGTGTCACACCGGCCACAGCAAACTCACAGGGCACAGTAGAGTGCTTTCAATGTGAAGCAAACAGCAATGCCTGACATCTGTCAGAGGAACTACCAGCTCAATGTAGCTCAGTTACAACAGAATGATTCTACATCATTTTGATGGCATCATATCTTTGCAAGCTGAGTTTTGGGGTGGTTAATAAAAAGCAAGTATGTGAAAAAGAGGATAAGTGCCCAATAGGAGGAGTTCATGGTTTGCGGAGTTATATGAAGCCAGAAAAACTTCCCTGAATTACACTTCCTTCTGAGAAACTTAGAAAAAACCTCAGATAAAAAGAATATGGTACAGCATAACATCTGTCCAGACAAGGAAAGCTTGCCAGAAAGATGTACCCAGAAAGCAGATCAAAACGGTATCCTATTGCAAAATGAGTCGAAGGTCATTAAGAAAATGGTAACTGGCCTGCGTCAGAATGGGAAAACCCAGAAATGAGATAAAGCATCGGAGAGATAGTGGCAAATATGTGCTTATTTTAGGCAAAGAAGATCCAAAACACACATGAATAACAGGAGTTGTAGCAGCAAGAAATCCAATGCATGAAATGAAACAAAACACTAAGAACTACAAATCAGTTTCAAACATGCAGGATGAATTAAGTTGTGGAGTTCTAATATATAATATTGTGACTATAGTTAATAAAACTGTTTCATTTGCTCAAAATCTTGAACAATAAATCTTAAGTGCTCACCACACACACAAAACGATGTGAGAGGACAGATGTTAATTAGCATGATTGAGGTATTCATTTCACAATGTATACACATAGCAAAACATCACATGGTACACCTTAAATATATGTAATTTTTATTTATTAATTATACCTCAATGAAACTGGAAAAAATGAATAAGAAAAAGTCAGGTTAAAAATGTATCATGGACTTTTTCAATCATCAATGCATAAAGCTTGGTTTTTGTCACTCTGAGAAAAAAAAGAAAAAAAATGCCAAAAAAAAGCAACACTTGAAACTACATATTGAAATAACATGCCACATACCTGAGAATATTAACCCAGAGTAACCACCAACTGGACTGTAAAGAAAAAGAGAAAAGTCCCTTGGGCATATAGGCAAAACCAGCAAGTAACTTATAAGAAAACGAATATATGGCTAATCCATATGTGACTCAAGAATTTTCTATCCAGCAAAACCAATACTGACTCTAGGAGACCTTCTTGAGGGAACTACTAGAGCAGGGGCTGGCAAACTACAGCCAGAGTATTTCTGTGCAGTCCTCGAGCTAAGAAGGGTTTTACAGGTTGTTACACACACACACACACAGGACACCAGACACTAGCCCACTGGAGATGTATCAGTAACCAAGCTAAACGTTCTGTCCTCCTGGAGCTTCTGTTGTAGGGGGGGAAGACGAGATGACCGTTTGTCATATGGTCGAAGTGCTATGGGGAGAAACAGAGAAAGGGCAAATGGAATGTTAGTGAGCGGGGAGCTGCTAACTTACACAGGATGCTCAGTGAGGCCTCCCTGAAAGGTAAAATGTGAGCCAAGACTCGAGGTGGTGAGGACATCAGTAAGTCTTACGTAGATCCAGCATAAGAGCACTTTGGGCAGAGGAATAGCAAATGCGAAAGCCCCGAGAAAGGAGCATGCTTGGCAAGGCAACTTGCAGTGACGTAGAGTGACCAGAAGATGAGGTCAGTGAGGACGGGAGCAGATGAAGGGCCTTATCGGCCATCCTAAGGACTTTCTCTGAGACGGGAAACTGTGGAGAATTCTAGGCAGGAGAGAGGATCTGATTTACATGAAAAGCCTCACTGGTCCATGTGTTGAAAATACACTACAGTGTCAGGAAACAAGGGCAGACAGAGGAAGCCTCTTAGAGGACAGTTATAATCCAGGCAAGAGACACTGGTAGCTTGGACGAGTGGTAATAGTCAAAGTGGTGGGGTTCTGAGTAAATCTCAACTGGCAACAGCGACTTTTGTTGGTGACCTGGACGTGGTCCATGAGAGGAGTCGTCAAAAGGCCTCCAAAGCTGCTGCCGGACAACTAGAGGGACAGAGTCGCCAATAGCACCTGTTGGGAGGATGCGGTGAGTTTGCGGAAAACAAGTTTGGCAATTAGCTATGACTGATGATCCGGAGAGACATGCAAACTGCTAACAAACGTCTGGGAGATGTGAGTGGACAGGACACTAAAGTGAGTTTAGAGAAAAACCGGTCAGAGCATTGAGCTCTGGGGCAGGCTGGGGAAGATGCGGTAGAAGTCTGCAAAAACGGCCTGGCCAGAGGAGGAGAAGAGCAAGGGAAGTCTGATCTTCCTGGAGACAAAACAGGGTTTATCCATGAGTTGGTCATCTCCTGTGTCAGGCGCTACTGGACGGTGCAAAGAAAACAAAGACTGAGAACAGACTTGGATTTGGCAACATGGAAATCGCCAGTGACTTAACACCAGCCAACTTCCGGGATTTGGTGGAGTTGTGGGGAGATGAGGAAATAGCGCAGACAGAAGTATTTTACGGAAAATTTGACCCCAAAGGGGAGAGATGTGGCTGGAGATGGAGGCAAGAGCATTCTGGGATATTATTCTACCCTGTTCGTTGGCTGACGGGTGATGTGGGAGGAGAACGCCACAAAGCAGGACTCTGGCAGGATGTCCTAAGGATGCTGACAAATCCTCGCCCCCAAAGGCAACCATAAACCTGGACAGAGCTGTCAAAATCAGCTGCTTCCATGCCCTGGGTATGGACCACAGGCATGCAACAAACTGGGAAGCTTATTCCTCAAGGCTGGGAGCTTCAGGTCAGAACGGCGCTCCTCTGAGGCATTCTGCCCCCCCTCCCCCTCCGCTCTGTGGCACTAGTTCAACTAGGGCAGCAAGGATATGGAATTAAGTTCAAATCTTCCCACAAAGAAAAGCCCAGGCTGTGGTGGCTTCACTGGCCAGTCTATCAAACATTTAAATAAATAATACCAACCCTCCACAAACTCCTGTGCACTGCTTCCCATGCACAGCCACGATGGAAGACAACTTGGCAGTTTTTTACTAATCTAAGCATTGGTTTAATATATGGCCTAGAACTCATGCACCTAAGTATTTACATAGTGAACTGAAAAATTAGGTTCACGCAGACGTTTATAGGCAGTTTTGTTCATAATTGCCAAAATTTAAAGCAACCACGATGCCCTTCACTGTGCAAATGGATAAACGACGGTGGTACACCAATACAATGCAATAGTATGCAGTGATACAAAGAAACAAGCTGTTAACTTGCAGGATTCATCCATGCAACATGGTGGATCTCAAATGCATTTCTGATGTAAACCAGGAGGTGCAGGGATCTTTAAGAGGGAATGCAGACTTTGACAAATGAATTAATTCCCAAGCTAGAAAATGAGTAACTAAAGTGAACACTATAAAGACTTCACATACTATTTTTACACCTTTAACACAGCACACCAGGACTTAGGCCCACTTAGGAACCGCAATGTAGTAAGGCCATTTACTTAAACTTGAAAAGAAAGCTGAAGATTATGAGGGACCTTTCTCCCCCTCTCCAATCCTAAGAATGATGTTGGTGACAACTGATTGTCTCTCACCTGTTCTTAAAGATAACATTAACATTTTTTTTAGGAGTATCAACCATTAAAAAAAATTGTTTCACACATAAACACATGTCCAAATGCAATATTTCAAGCCATTCTACTGAAGTTTTTATGCCTTAATAGGGGTTGCTATTTGGGGCTTCAAAAAAGATTCAGAATAGCTCACCATCAAAAGCCTGAGGTGAGATAGCACAAATAATTCATCGAGTGGTAAAATTAAGATATTGAAAAATACAAAATCTTGATAAAACCTCTGCTGAAATCTGGCACTCATGCTAGCTTCTAGTTCCAATTTTGTGTGTGTTTGGATGTGGGTATTTTCTATTAGACCTCATAACTTATCTGTTTTTTTTGTGGGTTTTTTTGCCCCCAATCCCCCCCCGCCCAGCCCCCGCCTTGAGACACTTCAGGAGAAGAAGTATCAGCCATCATGCTCTATGATATACATTATATAACTTATACAGGCAACAGGTCAGGATAGCTTTATTGCTTATGCGGAGCTGTTCATGTAGCAATACCACTCCCATCCTTTGCCACTGCCTAATTCCATAAGCACATTTCCCTATACATTGAGAACTGGATGCATTATTAACTCACTGCTACTTCACTTTATAAGAATAGAAAAGGAACTCTCCTTACCCTTATAATAGTCTTTAAAGACTTGCCAGAGATGATTTAGAATACACGTTACTCTCCGTATTGCCAATCACTGTGTCTGGCGCAAAAGCAGACCCCAACACCAGGTCCGAGTGCCGGCCATCAGAGTTTGGAAGCGACCAGGGTTTGGCGATTAGCGTGCCGGATGAGAAAGAACCCCGCCCGCTGACACCCAAACCGACTGGGCCCCCTCCAGGGAGCCCTGGCCGCACCCAGAACTCGCCGCGGAGGGACATCTGTCCACACGATGTTCTGCAGTTGCCTAGCCATTGCTTTTCTCGAGCCTGCCCAAACCATTCAGTCCGTGAATCATTGCTCACCCTTAAGTTGTAGCTTAGCCTCTTGACACGGGAGCTAGGCAAAGCCGCGAGTTAAAAACCAAAAATTCAACAAAAGTCAAGGTTATCTGGGTACACACCTGGGAAGCCGCGGAGCTGCCCAACCTCGGCCCCAAGGAAACCTCGGCCAGTCAAGTTCACACGAACTGTAAACGACAGACGTCACAGGAAGGCGCTGAACCACCGCAGCAAGGGCATAGAGGTTCCTGAGTAAATGCGGCCACCTTCACCACCAGTGAGAACACTCGCAAGATACCCACTGGCATGAAACAGCCTGGATACTGGGTATGTGGTTCCTTTTCTTAAAGCTGATTGCAGAAATCAACAGATTCCTAGTCGCTCTGCCTGCACAGCCATAAGGACCAAGCCCAGGTCTCCCCTCTTACACCTGGCCTGCTTCTCTTAAATCACTCTTGACATGTGAACTACAATTCCTGTCCTTGGCTCATTAGACTGTAAGCTCCACGAGGGCAGAGACTGTCCACCTTGCTTACCCAGCCAGGCTTTATTTTACGACTGAGTGTGAGGCTGTAAGACAGTGATGGCGAACCTATGACACGTGTGTCAGAGGTGACACGCAAACTCATTTTTTGGTTGATTTTTCTTTGTTAAATGGCATTTAAATATATAAAATAAATATCAAAAATATACATCTTTGTTTTACTATGGTTGCAGATATCAAAAAATTTCTATATGTGACAGGGCACCAGAGTTAAGTTAGGGGTTTTCAAAATGCTGACACGCCGAGCTCAAAAGGTTCGCCATCACTGCTGTAAGACATTAATTTCTGGCTGGCTCCTAGAGACTGGATTCTAAGGGCCAACCTAGGAAGAGACTTTTCTGGGAAGGGTCAGATACAGTATTTTAGTCAGTGCCCAGTCTTCAAATGTCTGCTACTGCACCCTGGTGGGCGATGGGCAGGCCTGCCTGGAGCCCTCAGCAACGGAGCATGCTATGGGCGAAAGCCCGGTGGCTCGAGCGTCAGCTTTTCTCAGTAAGATCAGGCTATAGCAAGCATGTCAAACTCTCGGCCCATGGGCCACATGCCTCGTTTATTTGGCCTGTGTTAGTCTTCCAGTTTGACATGCTTGGGTTGCATTTCAGAGGCAAAACATCCGAACACATGACTCGTTAGGCTGCCTCGCTTCACTAACAGCATTCCCTGAACAACTGATGTACCTCTCTGTGCCTCAGTTCCTTCACCTGGGTTCAGTGCAGCCTACTTCACTGGGCTGCGGTGAGGATCCAGGTAAATGAGCTATGCCCAGCACATCCTAAATGTCAGCTAAAATGTTAGCCATTCTGTCCCATTCAGTGCAGCTCACATTCTGGGGCTCAGGAAAAGGCGGCTATCATCAGACAGCCTGCCATGTACCATTCTACTTCTAGGCATTTTCATTCCTCTCCCCAGCAACCCAGCCGAGCTGGTCCTGACTCACCATTTCACAGGTATGCGCCTAGGGTTCAGAGACTGCACAGTTTTCTCCAGGTTGCATAACCAGTGAAGGGCCTGGCGCTGGAGAAGGCTCCCTGCACCTTGGACCGCTCACCTGCATCTCTGCTGGTTCTGAGTTAGGACGACTGGGATGGAGCCTGGCCAGGGGCACACACAGGAGTAAACAGGTCGAATTCCACCGCCTCCTGTGGACGTCACTGCCATCACAGCACACCCACTGGCACGGCACAAAGTGTACAGAGCAGCATAACACCCCGCGTGGCACTGCTAGAGATATCAAGTGAAGGTCAGGACTCGCGGCCTAATGTCTCTAAAAATACAAGCACCTACCACAGCGACAATCCCAACGACCTTTCTTTGCTAGGCAGCAGTCACAGAAAGACAAGAAGTCTAAAGTGCTTTCCAGGTGGGGCTGAGCTGTACCTCCAGTCCTGCCAGATTCATCTAGAAAGTATTACTCCGGAAGAAGAAATGCCTCCAAAAAATGGCCTCGATTGAATGTTTATAGCTGGTGCTGCCGTCAGCTGGCTTTTCTAGCATGATGACACTGCCCTGCAGTGTCAGGGGCAGAAGAAACCACAGGCTGCTGTGGGACAATGGCTGTCCACTCGAGCCTCGGGTCTGTGTTAGGGCATGATGCCCACCACTAACATTCCTGAGACACTCAGGGAAATGGTCCACTTTTACAGGTGTAAATGGAAATATGAAAGCTAAAAGGAATGTCACAATATTTCATGCCATGTGAAAATGGTATGAAACTAAAATCTCAGTGTCCATAATAAAGCCGGTGTTACCTGTGGCTGCTCCCACACTGCAATGGCAGGCCTGAGTGGTGGTAACAGAGAGGCATGGCCTACAAAGCCTCGAATATTGCCTAGTTACCAAAGATAAATTTAATATGGTTTTTCCAAAGGAAGCTTCTAGAAACTCTATGCTGAGTCAACACAGGCAAAGGGTGGGAGAAGCTGGGGGGCAACTGTTAGAACAGCTCATTCAAGAATGACAGCTGGGCCCTAGCTGGTTTGGCTCAGTGGATAGAACGTCCGCCTGCGGACCAAAGGGTCCCGGGTTCGATTCCGGTCAAGGGCATATACCTCGGTTGCAGTTTCCTACCCGGCCTAGGCCCTGGTCAGGGCTTGTGCAGGAGGCAACCAATCAATGTGTGTCTCTCACGTCGATATTTCTGTCTTTCCTCTCCCACTCTCCCTAAAAATCAATGGAAAAATATCCTTGGGTGAGGATTAAAAAAACAGAGGGAATGACATTTGGTGTGGCTTGGAGGTTGAGCGTAGATCCATGCACCCAGAGGTTGCTGGTTCAATTCCTGGTTAGGCCCCGGTTTGGCTCAGTGGATAGAGCGTTGGCCTGCAGACTGAATGGTCTCAGATCTGATTCCAGACAAGGGCACATGCCCAGGTTGAGGGCTCGATCCCCAGTAGGGGGTGTGCAGGACGCAGCGGATCAATGAGTTTCTCTCATCATTGATGTTTCTATCTCTCTCCCTTTCTTTCTCTCTGAAATCAATAAAAATACATTTTTAAATATATTTCATTGATTTTTTTATAGAGAGGAGGGGAAAGGGATAGTTAGAAACATCGATGAGAGAGAAACATCGATCAGATGCCTCTTGCACGCCCCCTACTGGGGATGTGCCCGTAACCAAGATACATGCCCTTGACTGGAATCGAACCTGGGCCCCTTGAGTCTGCAGGCTGATACTCTATCCGCTGAGCCAAACCGGTTAGGGCAGAAAAATACATTTTTTAAAAAGAAAATCTCACATAATAGACATTGATTCTGATGGAACTTTGGAACAAAAATAAGAAAAATCCGTAAGCTTATGAAGATAATCAATACATACTCACAAAGACATTTAAAGTTCTGAGTTTTTGGTAATGAGCAAGTGTTACTTTTGTGACATAAAAAACTTTTTATTTAGGCCCTGGCCGGGTAGCTCAGTTGGTTAGAGTGTTATCCCAAAACACCAAGGTTAAGGGTTTGATCCCTGGTTAAGGCCCATATAAGAATCAACCAATAAATGCATAAATAAGTGGAACAAACTGATGTTTCTCCCCCCTTCCCCCTTTCTCTCTCTCTCAATCAATAAATAAAAATTAAAAAAAATTTAAACCATGATAGAAATTAACTGTAGAGTACATCTCAGCCAAATCTCGAAAATCTGACCTATAATTTGAAAGATGACATCTTCTTTCTCCATGATGGTTAACATCCATGAAAGCAAAACATTGAGAGGAAACAGAAAGCTATTATATTCAAGGTATCACTAGAATCTACAAAGCAATTTACTCCGCACTCCGCACAGGATGAGGCATGGTGAGTCACAAGCATATCTGCACACTGTGACAAGCCTAGGGCGCTTCCCAGACATCTACCACAATAGTTTGTTTTTTTTAATTTTTATTGATTTTCAGAGAGGAAGGGAGAGATAGAAACATCAATGATGAGAGAGAACCAGTGACTGGCTGCCTCCTGCACACTCCCTACTGGGGATCGAGCCTGAAACCCAGGCACGTGTCCTTGACCAGAATTGAATCCAGGACCCTTCATTCCTCAGGCCACTCTATCCACTGAGCCAAACCAGCTAGGGGCTACTGCAATAATTCTTTACCAATTTCTTTTTTTTTTTTTTTTTAAGCCAGTCAAGTTTAGCAGTGGGGGGGTATCAATTTCTTTATTGTAATTGGCTGCTGGTAACTTCTAGGCACTCACTTCAATGGACTTCTCATGAAACTAAGAAAGTTCATTAGTAAGAAACTTCTAGCAGGTGTCTAAGCATTTAGTAAAACAAATGTCCTCCCTGGCTCCTCATCTGGGTTGTCAGTAAGTGCTGTCCATGGGGCTAGTCATCACATGCTCAGGCCCCACTGGCAGACATGAAAACTCAGAAGATCCCAGTGGGGCTCATCCATTTTTTTGATAGTGGAAGGAGAAAAAAAGGGCTCTACAGAAACAGTCAAAGCTTATGGTAATAATTTTCTTTAGCTTTCTTTCCCCTGGGCACTCCTGCCCATCTCCCTCTCAATGAATTCACAGTGGCTGGTGTGTTCTCAAGTGTTGCTTTGAGACCATTGTAGTAGAGACAAGAGAGCAGCCAGCTAAGATTTAAATGGAGGTCTTACTCCTTCCTTGGAAAGTCAGATTTCCCCTATTCTAAAAATAAATCCATAATATTTTAACTGTTTTTTGTTAAAGTAGATGGTTCTACTATGGAGCCGAAACCTATGGATGTCATCTATCGAATTTCTATTTATTCAAGTGGTTATCAAGGACCTAAACATTCTAATTAGAGTAGTGACTGTTTACAGCAAAGGCCTCCCTCCCTCCTTTTTCCAAGAAACCAGAATATAACTGCCCCATGCACTTCTCTTTCAGTAGACATCACAGAAACCTACATAATACTCCATTTATCTACCTAGTCATTCCAAAAGCTGTACAGCTACACTGATCCACTTCCATTGTTAGGGGCAGAAATAGAATATTGGGGACTAAATATAGTTATAAGAAATATTAACCATGCTCTGTTAACCTTGATTGTTGTTCTAAATTAAAGCACATTCTAACCTGGCTGTGGAGTTGTACCTATAATCAAACTTGGAATGCAGTCCATTCTCATTCAAGAACTACCTATCAGGATTTTCTCCCTCCCCCTGTGGGAGTCTGTGCTTGTTTCTCAATAAATCTCTACCTTTTACTATAAAAACAAAAACAAAACAAAAAACTACGTATTATTATGGAAAGATTAACAACTTGTTTGTTACCCAAGCAATGAAGTCCCAACTGAGCCCCGCATTGCCTGCTGCCCCAGGCCAGTATGACCATTTTGCTTGCCCATTCTTATTCCTTTTGCCTACTTCCCCATGTAATCTTGGTTCTTGTATCCCTTATAAGCAGATGACTTATGGGGGGAAGGGACAAAACAAATGTTTACGAAGGACCTACTCCTCTCCCATACTGCTGGCACTACTGGAATAAATGCTCATACTATATGATTCAATCCTTTCGCTGCTTCACTGGCTCCAGTAGTGACAGGCAGCCCAGACCCACTGGTTGTCTGGTTTCACGCCCATAAACACACCAATGCCTTCCTCTTCTAAAAGCCTGCTTTTGTTCAGGTCAATATTCTTCCTCCAGAATCTCTTGAATTGTATTAGGCCCAAGCTCGGAGGATCTTAACACTTTCTCAGAACCCTCTCCCAGTTTCCTCAAACTGTCCAGTACGAAGTGCCTTTGGGAAGGAGGAGTGGGGGTAACAGCACTGCTCACACGCCTGTCACCTTCAGGCACCTTGAGGTCTCCTCTCCTTCCTTTCACCAATTGAAAGTTGAAGTCGTTTCCCCAAAATCCAGCCACTTTTTAAGTCAATTACTCTATTTTGTCAATTGCTGCCACAATTAGTCATGAGATACCAGGTAATATTTCGCCATTTAAGTGTACTGTGTTCAACAGTACTGCATTCAAACTCCTCCCATTGAATGTTACAGGAAAATATACCTTAGTTCTCCCACATGGAAGGCAATTCATTTCTGTAGAAGCTAGATAATTACAAGCTTTCCCATTTCTTCCTTCTCCTAAGCAGTCTGCTCACAATTAAGGAACATACTAAATAAAGCTGTCTCCTCAAATGAGCTGGTATTTGCTTTTAAAATTGTACTAAGAAAAAAGTAACACATACCAGTGGTGGAGAAGAGTAATTCCGCCAATGCTCCATTATCTGGGGAGAGGGCACCTGGAGGACAGCATATAGAAGCCCCCAGATGACTCCTGACTGCCTTTCATCTGGGACAGTAACTGTGGCAACTGGTGCTTCTTTATGGGGGCTGCTGTCCTTTTAAGAGAAAAGGTAGCAAAACAATGTCCCCTTTAAATTCTAATAGCCTAGCATTTGCTGACTCCAAAGGGGCTGTACTCATCTGATTGCCAAGGGGCATAAGCTAGGAAGGAGCTGATCCTGGAATGGGGTCAAGTGTTGGGACTTATTGCCCCTACCCTACCAAGACTCTCTGAAGAGAATAGCTTTTAGCGCCTTGAAGGCCTCTCTTGCCACATGTCTAAACTTCGGGGCACGTAC